GAAAAAAAAGAAAGAACTGGGGATGCGGCTCAATGGTGGAGCACCACTGGGTTCAATCCCTAGAACTGCAAATAAATAAATATGTAAATAATTAAAAATAAAAACAACCTTGTCCATTTTGTATTCTCTTCCCCTTTGGTTATTTTCTCTATCATCTAAAATATTATGTATTTATTTATTTTATGTATTTAGTCTATTGTCTGTCTCTTCCCACTAGAATAAAAACTCTTTGAGGATCTGGTTTTTGTGGTTTTCTCACTGTGCTCTTCCCAATGACTGGGATAGTGTCTGACATAATAGCTGTTAAATATATTTGGAGAAAAAATGGATGAGCAATCTGGGGAGAAGCTGCCAGAAATTCAATAGAGCAGATGCCAGGGTACTTAGATGTCAGTGGATGGTTTCATGAACATCAAGGTGCCTGTCTTCCTCACTTTCTCCTTTCAGTCCCCGTCCCTCCCTCCTACTTCCATGCCCACCTCCACCAGGGAGCCCACACTGCTTACCGGCCTGCTGTGGCGGGGACGGCACCGGATGCGCAGCACAGAAGCCAGGATGACCACAAAGATGGTGCCCACCACTGTCAGGAGGATCCATACATCATAATCTGGCTGGGGGGCAAACAGAGAGGGAAAAGATAACACTTCACAAGAAAATGGATCAATGTGGGAGGAAATGGTAGAGTGCAGAAGACACACAGAGAGCGGGGGTTGCCTCAGAGTCTCTCATCTGAGGGATAAGGAAGGCATGAACCAGAAGTGGGATTAGGCAGTCCCTCTCTGCCCAGGGCACTCATGGGAAAGGGTTTTCCAGGTGCAGCTATGAGAAATGCTATGTGGAAACCCATGTGTTTGAGGGAAAAGGAGGAAAGAGACCCCTCTACAAGGTGGATCAGCTGGGTGAGATTCCTGGCCAGTGGAAAAGTACCCACCAGGAGTCATGGGTCAGAGCGCTAAATTTGCAAGCTCTGCTGCTCCACACCATGAAACCACAGAGTTTAAAGCAACTTCAGAACTCTTCGGACCTAATCTGTTCATTCGGTAGATGAGGCCCAGAGAGGGAGAGAAACTTGCCCAAAGGCATGCAGATGAGGGATGAACTTGGACCCAGAGGGTTTCTAGAGTTTCTTTCAGCTCCAGGAGTCTTAGGGGTTAGGGTAGGAGTTGCCACAGGACAAAACAGAGGTAAGAACATGTGCCATGGCAAAGATGGAGGTTCTGTGTGCTTACCCATGCAGGGGGCTCCTTCAGCTCAATCCTCACATGGGCTTTCCGGTTCTTATATACAAACTCCATGAGCTTTTCTGCATCATTGCCCCAGATGAGCACCACTGGCCAAGTCAGTCCTAGGGGCTGCTGCAGCTACGGAAACAGTGTCCACAAGGGCTGTTGTGACTTCTCCTCCCCCTGGGAACTTCATTCAGCTCCCTTCTTGAACACCCCAGTGTCCCTGGGTACCTGTTCAGCGGCAGCTCGATCCTCTGTGATGTCAAATAGAACTGCACTGGCTCCTCGCTCACCGGCCATCCGGGCCTACAGAGACACACAGCAGAGGTTTGGCTGGAGTCAGAGAGGGTCACAAACTGTCTAAGGCCAGGCCTGAGACTGCACATCTATCCCTTCCAAGGATTTTGGATGCAACACACCTCTGCACACTCACATATCCACATGCAAGGAGTCAGGGAGCCTAGTCCCCCCTGCCCTGAGCCCACCCAGGTCCTACCTTCAAAAGGTAACATTCAGTCTTTCCCTTCATACTGGAATAAACATAAGGGTTTATTGGATACCCAGTGATGGCTCTGGGTACTCAGAGTGGGTGAAGGATAAATTAAGGACAGTCCCTGCCCTCGGGGCACAAGTGGTGTGAGAACAAGAAGTAATGAATGACTGGAACCCCTGGGAGAAGGACACACAGGAAGAGGAAGAAAGCAGAGAACTTTGGAACAGGGCTGGACTCTCCAGGACCCAGCCCTTCCTGACAGAGGAGCCTGTGGGGCATCCCCTGCTAGGCAGAGTGCCGGAGAGCCTGGACACTGTTCCCACACAACTCCTCTCTGTGGAAAGCCCTGCCTCAACCCATCTCACAGGCTCTGTCCCCAGCACTCTCAGCTTGCCAACTCTCTCTGGCTACAGTTCCAGGACCTAGAGGAGTCCTTGTCCAGTGCTTTATTGCTTCATCCTATCCTTTAGGGTGACTCGAGTAGAGAGGGACCTGAGGAGCTGCTCCCACAAGGACACAACTGTGTCCACATGCAGATGCATGGTCACCAAGGACTCCAAGAGCAGGCGAGGAAGCAGAACGTAGCCACCAGGCAGAGCAGATATCAGAGGCAGGAAGAGAACAAAAAGCAGGGGTCTAGGGCTGTGGAGGGGTCAGGAGAGGGAGAGAAGAGCTAAGGGTGGGATGGAGGTGCAATAGCAAACCAACAACCAACTACAGGCACAGGCACCGCCAGGGAGCTGCTCTTGGCCTGGTGTTGGGTCCCCTTGCTGGGCACAGCCACCCTCCAGCCTTCCTCCCTAGAGCAAAGGCTCATTTTAATGGTGTCAGATTGTGACCTCCCATCCCAGGCCCCTGCTGAGTCTCTGAGCCCTTCCGCATGCAGTGAAAGAGTTAACCCTTCTGCAAGTGGTAGTGGCAGCAAGAGGAGCCAGTGCTGGGACTTACTCATCTCTCAAGGCTTTGATCTCTGCTTGCCTTCCCAGGGAGAGCCTGTTGGGGCAGGTCTCCTGCCAGGCAGGCTGGGAGCAGCTCCTTGCTCCTGCTCCCTACTCCTCAAGCAATGACAGAGACCAGGGGGCCCCTCAGAACCAGCTGCCTGCAGGCAGGGGAGTGGGAGAAGGTGGTGGAGACACTCAAATGGGCTCCATTTTGCTTAGGAAGATAACTCCCTCTTTCTTCACTCCTTCTCCCAGGATCTGGGCTGGGCCCTCTACCAGCATTTAGGCCCAGCCTGGATCTAGTCAAGGTTAATTTACTGGAAATTCACAGGAAGACTTCAGAATGGAATTACTGAAGGAGCTGAGAAGTCACAGCTTCCATTGTTCCCTCATCCAATTTGGCCCAGGAAGTCTACCCTACCTCATCTCCTCCAGGCAGAAGGAAGCTCCCTTATCTTCAGAGCCCTCCAAAGCAAGGGTGAGGGAGTGGTGACAAGGGAAAGGAATCCCTGGCTGGGGAACCCTACTGGCACTTTCACATTCCAGTTGTCATGAAGTAGGGACCTTAGGTTTCCTATGCCCAGACAAGACCCTGGACCCAGACTGGCCCGGAATAGCATGTGGGAAAGTAAAGACTTGCTTCTTTGGAGATTTTCTTGCTTGTCCACCCCTCTCTCTTTGAAGAATTGGGGTAGGAACAGTGAAAAGCAATTACTATGATGTTCAAACACCCTATCCCATTACAGCCCATAATTACAAAGTTGTAAAAGTGATCAAAGAGCCCAGAGAGTTGGCCAACAGGAGAAAACAAACAGAACTTTCAGGTAGTGGGTTCCTGTGTCCAGAATTCTAGGAATAAAAAGCAAGATCTGGGGACAGATGGCAGCCCAATGCCACCTATCCCACCTGCTCCCAAGAGAATAGGAGTTAGGGAGAAAAAAAGTACTTCTTTGGGTACTAAAATCTAGAAGGCAGACAGAGAGTAGACAGGCCCACAGGACAGAAAACTGGGTTTCAAAAGGACCACCCAGAGCCCTTGCTGTATACTGCAGAGTGGGCCAGCCCTAGGGACAAGCTAGCCTTCCTGTGAGTTATTAGAGTGAGCAGTGAGAGTGAGATAAAATCCTGCCTCTGCTCACTGGGCTCACTGGTCAGCTGTTGTTTTTCTCTAGGCCTTAGAGACCACAGTGACATTGTCTGTATATCTCTTGCTCATCCAAGATTGAGTAAGCACCAAGCCAGGGAAGGCCAGGCCCTTTAGAACAACTCATGATCTAGTTGTGGAGATAAGGCATGTATGTGCCCAAATTATGATGTTGATAATATTCTAGAGCACAAATGAATGGAATAGACCAGTAGTCCAATGTTTTTCACTTCAGAATGCCTTTCCCTCCGCTATCTGTCAGATATTGATCTGACACAAATATTCAGTATACAAAACAGATCAATGTGAGGCAGCTCATTTGAG